GACTTGTAGGTACTCAGGGAACCGAAAACCGAGTCAAAGTAAAATACAAAATGGAGACTCTCTCTACAAACAGGCAAACCGAAGTCAGGTGGTGAGAGTACCACCCACAATCGTTCTAGGAAGTGGACTCTGACCCTAGGACTGGACACGTAGTATTTTCTTTGTTAAATAAAATTTGAAATCTAATTTTGTAAATTTGGGAGTGCTTCAAATATGACGTTAAAACGGTTTTATGTCGTTACAGGTGGGGTTTTTAACATTTTTTAGTATAGTAAAATCGTGGGACCGATAAAAATTTGACATTATATTAGGGTTGTCGTTACATCCGATGACGTTATAATCGGGTTAAACTGTATATTGTTTGTGCAAAATAAAAATAAAATAATTTTGGACGATACAATAGCCATGATTATTTCTTTCAAAAACGGGAAATTTTCGTTAGGCATCGACAAAAATTCAACTCGGGCCGACACGCAACGGAGAGAAATTTCGAAACTGGATAGGTTAATTTCACCGAAAATGCATCGTGGCCTGCGAAATTTGAACGATCGCGCCCAAAAGCAGCGATACCAAAGAAGATTGGAGAATGAGAAGGAGATCCGATCTGAGCGTCAAAGTAATTCCGCTTAGTAGTGTCTCCGTGACATAGTCGTGCCCCAAATACGGTTTTGCTGTTTTACTTGTTTAATTTAACCTTTTTGGTTAATATTTAAATAATATAATATTTTACCAGTTTTACCAGTATTATACAGTTGTCCAACAGAAAAGTAAACTATCTTACAAATCTTTTGAAAATAGACAGTTTGACTGGGCCCTTCTAAAAACAGAGCCCTAGACATTTGTCTAATTTGTCTATGCGATGATCCGGCCCTGGTGAAGAAAATCCAGAAATCTCTACGTGGCCAGCCCGTTTGTGAGGCGTGAACCCATGACCAACTTCCAGTTTTCAGTGGTTTAACTACTCGGCCACTGGTGGGCTTTCTCCTTGGAAGTTCGCCCATGTGTTGCATTGTTTCATCTGATCGAGATGGATTCGTATTGGAAGGATCAGTTACAAATTGAATAACTCATATAATATTTCTTTTTCTTTTGTTTTTAGATTAATTGGAAAAAACAAATATATTTTATATCTAAAATTCCATTAAAGCATTCACGAATTAAAACCATCGAGTTTAGTTCCTGTGTCCACTTTCACGACAGTCGTTTTACTTATTAATTATAATATAAAGTAAGTCTGTTTGTGTAATTTAGCCGAATCTACTTTAACTAAGATCTTAATTTTCATTTAAGCTATAATTAACCGTTCATTCGAATTAAATTATTTATATTCTGAGCGATCTGCAGAGAAAGCTAGTGTTCTTCCTGTGCACACGTTTCGGACCAGACAAGAGCTTTCAGTAATAAAAAAACACAGTTCAATTAATCATTGATAAAGAAAATATAACGCTGCAGTGTCAGATTTTGGTCCTGCATAACGATCGACACTCAATATCGCACACGATCATCCTTGATAACTTCCTGAAATCCCTATCAGCTCTTTTTTATGTACTGCGTTAATGTTTGGNACCACCCCCCGAAAAATTCCTGGGGATTTTTCGACCCGTTCGGATTCGAACCCGGGTCCCCCAGAGCGGTGGGCTGCCACCTTGACCGCTCGGCCATCCGGCCTGGTAAAGAGGTTTATGTAATAAAAAAAATCCTTGATAACTTCCTGAAATCCCTATCAGCTCTTTTTTGTGTACTGCGTTAATGTTTGGAATATACGCACCATAATTAATCAATAAAACTTCGTACGCCGTTGAAAATGGTTCATTTCCGAATTGCACATCTACCAGTTCACTCTGTTGTAATCTTTGCCATATTTTCCATACCGGATGGTATTTGAATTTTTTTATTTATTACATAAACCTCTTTATCAGACCGGATGGCTGAGCGGCTAAAGTGACAGCCTACTGCTCTGGGGGACTCGGGATCGAATCCGAATGGGTCAAAAAATCCCCAGGAATTTTTCGGGGAGTGTTCCTTCCGGATATGTTGGGCCCCCAGCCTCCCCACTGTGGACCTGACCGAACCCATAACGGGTCTACTGAAAAGAGACTACATTAGTGCCCACAGGCCGGAAAGAGTTAAGAAAAAAAACCTCTTTACCATGATCTAGACAATTGAAGAGGCTTTAATTTCAACCATCCAGTTTAAGTTGCATGGGTATATACGTGCCTGTACACCAGGATTTTAATAGTCTATATTCTAATACTGTATATATAAATGATGCGAACAATTATAAAAAAAAAACGGTATATTTTAAAGCACACAACAAACTACTGTACAGAATGAATTGAAACAACTTTATTCCTTTTACTTCACCCCAAATTTTTATGCTTTACCTTCAATGGGGCTTATTAAATTTCAACTCTCCTCCCTGTCGACATTAAGATGATCTTTCGCCATTCCCATCATAAGTTTGGTCAGAATTACGATGAGAACAACCGATTGATGAAGGACAGAACCCGAATATCAGTGTCAATTAATCCATGAAAATTTCTGAGTCTTCAACTGGATCTCCCAAATTGGCATGTTCTTAAGAGGCATTCTGGCATCTTTGAAAAAAGTTCGTCCAGGCAAACGGGAGCGGGAGGAAGACAAAAAATGAGACCTATCTGGAATAAAAGAGATTAGGTCACCAATGAAAAATTTCCGCGGTTTCTGATCCGATCTCATCCATCTTATTATGGCGGATAGAATCGACTAATTTCTACTCGTGTTACGTCACTTTCAATGCTGGGAATTGAATGACTTAGGGGCATTGAAACTGAATTCTCGTAAAGAATCATCTGGCGATCAGCTTGAAATAAAATATTACAACGAAACCAACGTGTTAATTATACAAATATTGCAAAAACATAATTAATTACGTTGATAAGTTAATGAAATTTATGCGAAAATATTTCGGTAATTAAAAATTAATACGTAATAAAGAAATTTCGATGTGTATTTAGACCAAATTAATTACAATTATAATGGTTCTATTTTATTACGTATTGAATGCACAGTTTTTATTTCCATATAAATACATTATTCTGAAAGAGTTTTGCATTTTTCTGCTCGAAACATGGAACAAATTTGAACTTAATGGCAACCACAACTGAATCCATTGAACAGAAGCAGAAATGAGCTTAAATAGTGTTAAAGATTTACACGAAAATGTTGTTTAACATGAAGAATAATAATATGAAAAATACTTAATTTATCTAACGAAATAAAGCATAAATATAAGAATTTGTATGATGATTTTGTGGAAATCAATACCTACTCGAAAATGTGAAAAATTAAAGAAGTGTTTACATTTTTTGTAATGTATAATAAATAAAATATTTATAAAATAAAAATTACTTTCCGAATTTTCTTTCAAAATCGATTATAATATAATTAATATTACCGAAATTTTCAGGGAACAATACAAAAAAAAAAAAATAATAATAATCCATCAACGAGTTGCTTAACTTTCCCGGCAACATTTGGTGGCTCCATCTGTTATCATATTTTATTAAAACAACTTTTTATATTTTTAACTGTTATAAAATAGCAAATAGCTTAATTTTGAGGCCAGGGATTGGTTTTGTAAAAATTTGTAATATCGTCATTAAGTTCGACCCTACTAGAGATACACTCAACTCCATTATCTCCCTATTCCCTCGACCTTTAACCACCAAAATTTAATAGTATCAATCCTCCTAATAAACAAACACCCATGTAAAANGACCCAAATAAAACAAATATTTGTGTTTTTCAAATAAATTTTCGTTTGTTTCTTTTATAATAAATGAATTTATCTATTTCTACGTAAAAATTGAAGGTGTCTGTAAAAGTAATTTTTTAAAATATCCTTTTTCTTGATAAAGTTTTAATACTTATTATTACAATCTAGACATGCTAATTTTTACATATACTTGTATATTGGGCCACAAGTATATATTATATATTCTTGTGGCCCAAAACTCCTTGACTTCTTCCAATGCGGCCCAGAGAAACAAAAAGGTTGGACACCCCTGCTCTAGGGGTTCATACGGCCCTGGATCTACGTGCTACACAAATGACACGATACATGTTTCTTCTCTAAAGCACATCCTAACATTCGTATCAAAATTACTGTTGACACAAGGGAGCTGCCTAATGTAATATCTTAAGTCGATTAACACGTAACACATTTAATATACAGGCTTAACAGTTAAAACTGAGAAAAAAATTCACGAAACAATAGGGAAAAAATGCTACAATTTTACATACAATTACTTAAATTATTTATTAGGGTATCAGAGTATCAGAGTGCCAAAGGGGTAGTGCCTCATAGGAAATTTTCTACCAAAAACTAGGCCTTATTTATGTATTTGGGTAATCTTATTTTCTTGTTATTTCCACTCTTAAAATGACTTTCACGACTATCGATTTCAATTTTCATACGAATTAAATTATAAATATATTACATTGAGTGTCGATCGTTATGCAGGACCAAAATCTGACACTGCAGCGTTATATTTTCTTTATCAATGATTAATTGAACTGTGTTTTTTTATTACTAAAAGCTCTTGTCTGGTCCGAAACGTGTGCACAGGAAGAACACTCTCCCACTAGCTTTCTCTGCAGATCGCTCAGAATATAAATAATTTAATTCGAATGTACGGTTAATTCTAGCTTAAATGAAAATTAAGATCTTAGTTAAAGTAGATTCGGCTAAATTACACAAACAGACTTACTTTATATTATAATTAATAAGTAAAACGACTGTCGTGAAAGTGGACAGAGGAACTAAACTCGATGGTTTGACGTTAAACGTTCTCTGAGTCAAAAAATGTAATGTTACACATAAAAAGAACTGAAGTAAAATTTCGAAAAATCAAACCTACATCATCTAGCTCTAGTGTTTAGCGTTTTATTCACTCGGCTATTGCCACTCTTCAATATGTAACTTCCAGAGACTTATAAGTTAAACACTAAATTTTTAGAGGTCCAATTTTTGGAAACTCTTGAAAAATAAGTTCTGTTATTTGGACGAGGAGCTGTTTGTGTTCACCAAGTTTTATTCGAATTGGAGATCCGAACGTCTGGACATATTGTAAGTGACAGCTGAAGATGTTACTTTTGTGCTTTCTGGACGACAAACTGAAAAGGCTACCAGCGCCTGCATTAATTGGTAAGTAAAACTAGTGGTAATAAATAATTTGAAGTGTCGAAAAAATTTTAAACCGACGAAATGGTGGCGATATTTTAAAATTTTCCAGAACGACGCCAGAGATTTTTTTTTATACAGCAACGGGCGATCTGCCAAGGGGATGCCTCCCGAGAGAACTTTCTATAGGAAACTGATCTTTTGTTTAGTTGTTACAAACGTCAAGAAAACCAGGATAACTCCACGTGGACAGTCCGTCGGCAAGGCACGAACGAACCCACGACCAACTACCAGCGTTCTGTGGTTTTTATCCAATGAACACTTGTATAGTGTGCCGACTACCAATTTTAGTGGCACTCGCCACTGGTAGGTTTAGACTACACAGGCCGCCTCAATTTTATCAATTATGGACAATTCTTGTGATGATAGAATTAATCGATATTAAAATATAAGAAAACAAAGATCGAATTTACCATGTGACAAAATTATTCACGAAAAATCACGAGAATCAGATTAGATCCAAGCCCTGATATTCATAGTAGTAATAGGGAATATCCCCAGCTAAAATTAAATATTTTGTTTTTATCGTCACGACTAGGTGCATAGATAGACACTGGGCATTTCTACATCATCTTTATTCGGAATCTCCTATAGGCCTATATGCGTTTCGGGCATAAGCCTCTCATCTGTCGGCATGACTTCCGAAACAGTAATACAATTTTAACTGTAAATAAGTGATTTTAAACGGAATGTATACGTGTCAACACAACCTATAAGAAATCTGGAAGTTATGCTGACAGATGAGGGGCTTATGCTTGAAACGCGTATCGGCCTATAGGAGATTCCGAATAAAGATGATGTAGAAATGCCCAGTGTCTATCTATGCACCTAGTAGTGACGATAAAAACACAAAAAAGAAGAAGACCCGGTTTCAGACACATTAAATATTTTGATGATGATTTAATGACTATAAAATTATTTTTTAAAACAAAAGTTCTGTATATTTTGCACAGAGAATACAGACAAGAGCAGGGCTTTCGATAGGGGATTTTTTTCCCCGACTCGTAGAGAAATTAAGAGTTATTATAAATTATTTTCGGCAAAATTATTTTAAAATGGCAGAAAGGACCCTCTAGGGGTTCATACGGCCCTGGATCTACGTGCTACACAAATGACACGATACATGTTTCTTCTCTAAAGCACATCCTAACATTCGTATCAAAATTACTGTTGACACAAGGGAGCTGCCTAATGTAATATCTTAAGTCGATTAACACGTAACACATTTAATATACAGGCTTAACAGTTAAAACTGAGAAAAAAATTCACGAAACAATAGGGAAAAAATGCTACAATTATACATACAATTACTTAAATTATTTATCAGAGAGAGTGCCAAAGGGGTGGTGCCCCAGGAAATTTTCTACCAAAAACAAGGCCTTATTTATTTATTTAGGTAATCTTATTTTCTTGTTATTTCCACTTTTAAAATGACTTTTACGACTATCGATTTCGATTTTCATACGAATTAAATTATAAATATATTACATTAATAGAAAAAAATTGGAAAATTCTGCCAGCATTCATTTATCTAAATGAAAGTTAGAAAAGACTTTAGTTCTTATTTCGAATTTGTGGTATGTAATCGTTAATGTTTGTAATACTTAAAAATGGAAAGTAATAAAGAACAACGAAAGGTTTTATAAGTGAAAACATCCTNCACAAAAAAGAAGTAGACCCGGTTTCAGACACATTAAATATTTTGATGATGATTTAATGACTATAAAATTATTTTTTAAAACAAAAGTTCTGTATATTTTGCACAGAGAATACAAACCAGAGCAGGGCTTTCGATAGGGGATTTTTTTCCCCGACTCGTAGAGAAATTAAGAGTTATTATAAATTATTTTCGGCAAAATTATTTTAAAATGGCAGAAAGGACCCTCTAGGGGTTCATACGGCCCTGGATCTACGTGCTACACAAATGACACGATACATGTTTCTTCTCTAAAGCACATCCTAACATTCGTATCAAAATTACTGTTGACACAAGGGAGCTGCCTAATGTAATATCTTAAGTCGATTAACACGTAACACATTTAATATACAGGCTTAACAGTTAAAACTGAGAAAAAAATTCACGAAACAATAGGGAAAAAATGCTACAATTATACATACAATTACTTAAATTATTTATCAGAGAGAGTGCCAAAGGGGTGGTGCCCCAGGAAATTTTCTACCAAAAACAAGGCCTTATTTATTTATTTAGGTAATCTTATTTTCTTGTTATTTCCACTTTTAAAATGACTTTTACGACTATCGATTTCGATTTTCATACGAATTAAATTATAAATATATTACATTAATAGAAAAAAATTGGAAAATTCTGCCAGCATTCATTTATCTAAATGAAAGTTAGAAAAGACTTTAGTTCTTATTTCGAATTTGTGGTATGTAATCGTTAATGTTTGTAATACTTAAAAATGGAAAGTAATAAAGAACAACGAAAGGTTTTATAAGTGAAAACATCCTCGTCTCTCGCCATAGAAACCAACGTCAAACAAATCATTCAAGAGGAAGTTTACACGTTATACTATATATCACGAAAACATCCGTCAGAAAATAGCACTTACGATTAATCACGGAAGAAACTAAGCTGGCTTCCACTTGGCAGCGCATTTTTCAGATAAGACACTACAGGAATTATGAAAAGGTAATGTGTTTTGTTACGTGAAATGTCAAATTTCCTAATGGATAATTAATTTTATCTTAATTTAATATGATTATGCTCAATTTTCATGCTTAATACCTGAGTATACCTTGAGATTTAAACTAAACTTAAATAAAATTTAATAAATTTGTACGTAAATAACGTTCGGTTTTCAATTTTTGAATTTCTTTAATTTGTACTCGTTAAACAAAATTTAAAAATTTGTATACGTGAGACGTCATTAGAATATTCATAATTTACAGTGAAATATGCATCAAATTCCGCGAATGGATAGGCTTTTTTTCCCCCACGTCAACGGAAATCGAATCCGATTATTGTTAAATTAGAACATTGATGTGAACAACGCTGAAACCAGGCAACAGTGTTTACTTTATTTCGACTGTTTTTCTATTGTGACGTGAATGAGTAACGTGTCTCTAAGAAAGTACGTGACTTTAAAAAATCTACTTTCGTGGTGTCATTTCTCTCTTAATCTAAAAAGTTAATATTTAAAATAAACGCAAACACGCTATTACGTACTGTATATATTTATTTTCTAATACGGTATAGTCAAAGTCACTAAACAGCACACGCAATACAATACTTAAAAATTCATAATCATACTTACCAAGTGTTTAGATTACAGCAGAATCTAATTGTAATCACGGATACTGTAATTCATCAATCTTTTCCGAGTGTTATCGGAAAAGATTGATTAATTACAATTGTTTAAATACATCCTTTTAATGCTATACTGACCGCGTGAATAAAATCACTGAACAGTGGTTGTTGGTTTCGCTCCTCACCAACGGATGAAGTTCTTCGGGTTTTCTTCACGTTTGCTTAACCTAAATAGTGACCATATTGCTATTGAAAGTATTTCTGGGAGGAGCAGATCGCACGCCAGTCGTGTTGTCATATATAACCAAACAATGCCAGAGTAAATAAAATAAATACTCATTTTCCATATTTTTCCATGTTCCTAACACATTTTGCTTTCTCTTTTTCCAGATTAAACAGTATTTAAATATCAAATTACATGTAAAATGTTCATCAGGAATTGCCGTTATTTCTATCGCAACCCTTCTGTTCTGGCAACACTAGGCATTATGAGTGTAGTATTATTGCTTTTCAACATACAAACGCCGTAAGTACTACTCATTATTAAACAAAAAAATCAGTTTACTTAAAATATTTAAAATTATTTTATAATTAACTGCAAAAATCATTTTTACAGATTTTCAGCTGTTCCAGGTAATCTGCAACGCGTTAGAAGAGGAGAATCAGCAACCTGTTCATCTAAAACTAACATCGTTTTCCTGAAGACCCACAAATGTGCCAGCTCCACCATACAGAATATATTCATGAGATACGGTGATCGAAACAATCTAACCTTTGTCCTACCAGCTGCAGGGAATTATCTGGGAAATCCTGCACCATTTAGAAGGACCATGGTACCGGATCCGTCCAAATTTAACGTGATTTACAATATCCTGACTCTCCACTCTAGGTTTAATTACAAAGAAATGAAAGCTTTGATGCCGAACGACACGGTTTTCGTCACCATCTTGAGGAATCCGGTCGATCTTTACGAATCTCTTTACTCTTACCTCAATTTAGACAGAGTTTACAAAATGAATTTATCAGAGGCCGTAAATAAACTAAGCTATAACACGCTAAGTAAACGAATTAACGATAAAATAGGCCTCAATCAAATGGTCTTTGATTTAGGGTTCGAGTACAGCAAACATGCTAACAGCTCACAAATTGAGTCATTCATCGAAAGAATTGATTCGCTCTTCGATTTAGTAATGATCACCGAGAAAATGGACGAATCTCTAATCCTCTTACGTCATCTGATGTGTTGGAGTCTCGATGACGTCTTGGCGTTTAGAGTTAATGCACGTAGCAGAAAATCTGTCGTCACAGATAAAACACGCGAGAAGCTAAGAAGATTAAACTGGATGGATCAACTATTGTACGATCATTTCCTTAAACGTTTTGAAGATCGGGTCAAGAGGTTTGGATATTCATCCCTACAAAATGAAGTTATTCTGTTAAATCAAAAGAGATCCATTTGGTATGATTATTGTGTGAAGGAAACCAGATCTTATTCCGATGGCGTGCGAGCCAAAGTGGTTACGTACATAAGGAATCAAAATTTTAATGATTCCTGTGCAAGTTTAACACGTTCGGAACTTGATTATATTGATTATCTGCGAAAGAAACAGAAGCATCTGTTCCGTAAAACAAAACCTTGAATTTTCTTCGATTTAACGTAAATCAAGAAGTATTTTTTTTTTTACAGGAGATGAAAATGCTTTGATTCTTCCACATAAAACTACGAAAAATGAATCCTTTTTGAAATTCTATTGAGGAATAAACGTGGTGTTTAATTACAGCAGAGCGTCGTTTATCCGAAAGTCGGTTATTCGAAACGTCTGTTATCCGAAAGAATTCCAGTCGGCAAATTTAAATTTTCGCTAGTGCTGTGGCGCTGCAATCTTTGGCTATATCTTGGGCTACTCCAATATTTTTTTGATTGATGTGTGTTTTAGCACTGGCAATTTTGTGTGTCATGCTGAATCGAACATTTTTGATACTACATTCACTTCTAAAGTATAATTTTTTTTGTTTTTATATTTTTCAATATATTTATTTTGTTTGTAAAAAATAAAGAAATAATTTTTAACGATACAATAGCCAAGATTATTATTTTAAAAAGTTTACATTAGGCTTAACATCGACGAAAATTCAACGCGAAGCGACACGC